CTCTGTAGATAAAAACGTTTCATTGTAAGGTAACAAAAACACTATAATTCTTATTTTCAGGTGATTACACACCAATAAAAACATACCTATAAATATTTTATTGCTTTTCTTGTGCTAAATGCTGCAAATGGAGCACCATAAATGTTACAAACTCGACCTTAAAGTAACTTATCATTATCTATTACTGTATGTAGTCCTTGATTCAGAGTTATTCAGTAACTTTGGCACTTTGGCAGCTATTCATTAATTAGCATTTAGTTCCTGATTTACTCCTCACACATTTTTTGGTAACCACTCCAGGCCCTCATGGTTCTCACGCCTTTTTTGCACTTTTCTTACTAAATGACAGTAATAGTCAAACACCTCCTCCCAGTTCCTCTGCCATTAAACTACTTTGACACTTTGTCGCTTGAGGACCAGAGATCTGAACTTGACTTCTAGTACTTAAAAGAGTGCTATTAAACTATTATAACCTACTGTGTCATGTAATTTGGAATTACAGTTAAGGGGATAAAACATTATCAATGCTATTGTGTTATGTACAGTGAAACTAGAAGTACTGGAAATGGCACAATAGTTTATCTGTTTATCTGTGAATAAGTGCGTCTGAGTTAGTGCTTTCCAGACAAAGAGTATGTATAGAAAGTGGAAATTGTGCAGGATTGTGTGTGTTTATGACGAGTGAAGAGTAATAGTCTATCCAAGGCTAATCTGGGATATCTATAATAGAGTTTCTAATGCAGTGTGAATGTCTTTCTAGTGTACTGTATCTCTACTGTCACTGCAGGGATGTCACAGCGACCTCACCACCCCACTGTTGTTAGTAACCTCTTTTAAACATTGCACGATCCCATCGAGGGACACAACTTCAGATTGGACAGTTTCAAACGCTAGATTAGGAGTCCCTGTTTACTCCAGTGTTCAAATCTAAACAACAAGCTCTGACAGCGAAGATGTAAACACACATGTTCATGGGTCATAGCAGCAATTATGACCATTTGCTCAACATAAACAAACAAATTATAGACATGCAGATGGAGTGATGGAGAGCAGAATTACAGAAGGAATATCCTGCTCTGGTTGCTGTGACCAACTTTTCTGCACAAGCATAATTAGAAAGTTCCCTCGAATCTAAACACAGATTTAAAGGGAAACATCCCTTGTTTGTCCCTTTATTGTGACAGCGTACTGTCAAACAGAGGCAGTGTGATCCATGCTTCTGTAAAGCCTCTGTAATTCTGTGGAGTTAAGAGTTTGAAGAGTATGTTTATTTTATGAGATTGAGAAGAAGACAGAAAGAGAGAGAGGGTGGGTGGTAGTGGGGAGAGACTGATGCTTCAGGAGGCC